GTGTGTGTGTGTGTGTGTGTGTGTGTGTGTGTGTGTGTGTGTGTGTGTTTACTAAGTCTCAAGGTCACTGAGGACCAAGCCTGATCTAAATGCAAAGGCTGCAGGCAAAAGGGAGGTGAAACTGAATCCAAGCCAAGTAAGAGGTGCCAAAGACCTGGGGAGTTAAGGGCAAGTTAAAAAGAAGGCTTGCAGAAGGCAACAGGACAGAAGATGGGGCTGGGAGCTGGTTCCTGAGAGCTGAAGGACCTGGCTCCTCTTCCCACGCTCTGCTGACTCCTCTGTTCTCTGATCATCGACCAAAGACAAAAGAAAACAAGCAGCTGGCCCAGCTGGTGTCCCAGTGTCCCGGGCAGCCAGTAGGTAGCTAGCTCCTTAAACTGTGTCCAAAACAGCACATACACTCTCTGGAGGGCTGCCAGGGTCCTTTCGGAGTATAACTAATGCCACAAGAAGCAGCTAGGCCCTGGCACATACCTGCTGTGTTTAGAACAGGTATACATACACCTTGAGAGGCGGGTGGGTGCATGGAACAAGGGAAGAGAAGGAGGGAGCACCCATGGAGCCTGGGCTCAGGCAGCCCTGGCCATGTTTCTACTGTACCTCTGGACTGTCAGATGTGTAGAGACTAAGCCGACAGTGTCACCATGATGGGAAGGGTCAGCTAAGGGTGGGTGTCCCTGGTCTGCTGGAGGAGCTGGCTGGGTGACATCATCAGTTTCAGGGGAACTACAGAGGAAAAAAAAAAAAAAGAAAAAGGTCAAGAAACTCAGAAAGTTCCCAGGAGATACAGATGTGTCTTGACATCTGGCCCTAGGCAGGGCTCACACTCCCTTTTTATGACAGGAAGGAGATGTCCGCGCTTCTTAAAGATGATCCAGAGACAGTACTGGACACCGCCACACACTGGAGTCAGGCAACCCCTTTGGGGTACTGTTTTTGTTGTTTGTTTTTATCATCACTTAGAAACAAAGGCACAGACAGGTTGAGTACCTCAAGCCTGACCTCAGCAGGTACCCTCTCCATCACCACAGCTGGCTGGGCCCCTGAAGTAGAGGACTAAGAGAAAGGTAAGTAGCTACCCATGCAGGCAGCCATTCCTATGTTTGAAAGCCATGATTAGAAAGGAGCTTGACATTCTGCACAACAGCAAAAGGTCACTGTAATTAGAGCATAGGCAAGAGAGAGACTGTGGGGGGGAAGGGACAGGGACAGAGCACAAAACAGATCACAGGTGGAGAAACTGGGACTTGGTTGTAAACCAGAGGATTAGCAGAAGTTTCTGAATGCTCAGCCACCAATCAGGGCCCTTGAGTGAGAGTAGGCAGTCCCAGGGAATTCCTAAAACTACATTTTAAATCCCAGTAGACAGGCCCATGTGTTATTCTTCTCTGTGGGTCCCACTCGCCACTCTAATCCCTCTGGGGCAGATGCTGGAACCCCATGGCTACACACTAGGGTCAGGGAGATCGTATGAGGGGAAAAAAAAGGGATCCAGTCAGGAGGGAGAAAAATGGCCAGGATGCTAGAGATCTTCGGTGGATTACAACTTGGAGACTCCTAAAATTATGGCTATGATCAGCTTTCTACATATCAAGAAGTCAGAGAAGAAAAACAGCCTGGGTGTTTTGGCAGCACACACAGCATGCCACAAAAGACACACCGTGGTCTTTTAAGAGATGATAAAGGCTGGGAGCAAGGAGGCTGTGGTCACAGTAGCAAAAGCAACCAGAGGTGACCAAAATACCCAGTGGCAGGAACAGTTCATCAGATCAAGGACACAGAACAGATTTATTTGCAATGCTTTGAGAATATTGGTAGGGCTTTACACATCTAAGTGGAAATATTATCATTATTAACTGGAGACGGGAAAAATAAACCAGCGCCCGCATAACTGTGCCTCGTATTTTTTTGTGTGCAGCAATGCGAATAACAACAGTCTGAATGAGCCAGCAGGCACGGTGGAATCTATGCCATGGGGTTGGCAGCACAGTTCTTTTTCTCAGGTTGAGTGTTTTTCCTTTGTCACGGATTTGATATCTATTTTCTAGTCCTTTAAGAGGAATTTAAATTCTATGTTTATTTTGTGGGTTTGTGTGCATGTGTACACACAGTTGCTGGTCAGAACACAACTTCCAATGTGGGTCTTGGGGATGGAACCCTTGCTGGGGTCATCAGGCGTGGCAGCTGCCGCCTTTTGCAGCTGAGCCATCTCATGGGCTCAGTTTTCTGGCTCCATGCTGAGTGAATACCACTAGCAAAATCAACATAAATAAGAAAATACATTTAAGAAAGATTTTAAGTGTCAGGGAACAACTCTGCTTCCTGTCTTAGTGAATGTTTTCTGACAAACAGTACCAACTGTGCCACAAGAGGAGCATCACTTCTGAGTTCATACTGTCCTCTGTGAGGCCTTGCCCACCTGACTCTTTGACAGAAACACACCCACACTCATTCACTAGGCATCACCAGAGAAAAGGAAGGTCTAAGAGAGAAGTGTCCAAAAATAGATATCTACCCACATGGACGCTGGCATGGCATTTTTCAAAGAATACTGACACTTCCCTAAGTTTTCCGAACATAAATAGGCTCTGGGGTGACACTTTGACTAATATCCTGATCAGCTATGACGTTAGTGAGCAAATATGCTATTTCGCTCAAAGAGTAACTGCCAATGATGTCAAGAGGGTTGGAATCCAGAGCAGCCCCACTTTGGGATCTCTGCCAGGTGAGTTCTTGGGATGTTAGCTTTTCCGTCTGTAAGACTGAAGGCCTGTGGGCACCACCACACAGGGCTCCTCGGCCCCATCCCGTCCCTGACCTCCCTGCTTACCACCCCCCCTTCCTGCAGTGTACACAGCTCTCTGCTTTGATACGCTACAGACTGAAGACGTTAGAACAGTGTGCCTGGGGAAGCACTAGCAAGCTTCCAGCTGTGGTCTAACAACCTCTTGTTAAAAAAAAAAAAAAAAAAAAGTATGACTTTAAATATACATATGTGTGTATATATACAATAAGCTGAACCATAGGCAATTGCTGAACATCTGTGTATATGTGTACATGTGTGTACACACATCAAAATCATATTCCTACTGCACCACCAGCCCTGAGACCTGCATGTCTTACTTCCTGGTGATCTGGTTCAGTTTCAGATAGCTTTGGATGGGACTAAGCTGATTTCTGGACAGTTAAGAGCTTCTTAGATAACATTTCTTCAGGGGCTGGAGAGACGGCTCAGTGGTAGAGGGCATTGGCTGCTCTTGTAGAGGACCTGGGTTCAGCTCCCAGCACCCACCTTAGTGGCTTGCAGCCATCTGTAACTCCGGTTCCAGAGAACTCACTGCTCTCTTCTGACCTCTGTTGGCAACAGACAAAACACTCATGCACATAAAATAAAATAAATAAAAATCTATAAGCATTTCTTCAGCAGATCTCTGAGTTTAAGGGCGGCCTGGTTTACTTCCAGGACAGTGAGGGCTCCATAAAGATACCCTGTTTAAAAAATAATTTTATAATGAAAAGAAAAAAAATCTACATTTCTTCACAAACCTACTGTCTGAAGCTATAAAAGCTTTCTAAATTCTACTAGTGGTAGCACCGAGTCTAGACTGACTGAAATATTTCTCAGTGGCCAAATTCTGGATAGAGATTTCAACTACCAGCTTCTACCACCAGCTGCTGGGCCTGCCCTGCAAACCTAGGCAGCAAAGGTGGAGTGGTTGCTGGAATGTGTGAGGAGCTTGTATCAGCAAACGCTTCTTCACAAGGCCATGAGTCACCATGACGGAGGCTGAGCAAGGGCCCTGCTTCCCAGAGGAAGGTGCTCATGTTCCTGTGTGAGAAGGCCAACCGCCACCTTGGGCCCCACATTACATAGTCCATCCATGCCCCGCCAAGATCACTGTGGGCACCAGGGTAAACTACAGGAGACCATACACTACAGGCTTCCAAGCTAACCCCAAGCGAGGCAGTTCAAAATCCAAAGAACAGCTTCTCCGGCGCGTGTCTAAGGTATGTCAGGGCACTGTATCAGACGCCCAGAGACTGGTGGCCTGCAAAACACAGCTCTGCCTCTCTCAACATTCTGGAGGCTGAGATTTCATAATCAATGCCAGCAGGCCTAGGGCCTGCTGAGAGAGCTCCTCCAGGCTCACGTTATGCCATTTCATTATGTCCTCATCTGGTGGAAGAGGAACGGAGCTCTCTCTGGTTTCTTTCATATAACACCAATCCCATTCTTGAAAATACACTCTCATGCCTAGCCACCTCCCCAAGTGCTGGCTAGTTTTATGTCAATTAAAAAAAAAAAAAAAAAAGGCTTCCAAAGATCCAGGATAAGGTAGGCAAGCGGTTCCAGTCCATTGTGGGTGAGACATCCTTAGGCTGATGGTCCTGGATCTGTAAGAAAGCAGGCTGAACAAGGCAGTAAGCAGCATGCCTCCTCTGTGGCATCGACATCAGCTCCTGCCTCCAGGTTCCCACCAGGTTTGAGCTCCAGTCGTGGCTTTCCTCAAAGGACTATGACTCAGGATATGTAAGCCAAATTAACCCTGTCCTCCCCAGTTGCTTTCAGACATGGTGTTTCATTTAGAGCAATAGTAACCCTAACTAAAACAGGGTCTCAACACATGAATTTGGGAGGGCATAACAAGGGGTAGCAGAGGAACAAACTCAGAAATACAGGATTCTTCAAGGCCAGAGTGATCTGGTGAAATTCTAGGAATAGCTGAAACAAGCAAAGGGCATCATTGGACCAATGACTGCCAAGAGTCTTGAGAATTAAGGACAGTTTCTCAGGCTCAGTGCAGCTCAGTGTGAGGTTTCATCCACAAAACAAAACAAAAGCCTTCCCCCCTACTGTTTGCTTACAAAACCACTGGCTTTCCTCCCCTTCCTCTGGTGGACAAGAGTAGTGCGACAAAGAGGGAGCAAGGACAACAATGGCACAGGGAAGACCATGTCCTAGGGAAGTTGTCAGTCAGCATGGAGAGAACAGCCAAGAAACAGTGACAGCAAGATCAAAGGCAGCACAAGCCAGGCCCTCATGAGAAGAGGATCTGCCTGTGCAAAATGTGGTTAAAGGAAAGAGAAAAACAGGGTTAGGCAGTTATCAGAGATTATCAGTTAATCTGGAAAAGAATTAGGGAGATGTGTGCGGTGTGCATGCATGTGTGTGCTTGTATGGACAGGGCACATATTTGTCTTCTTTCCCAGCTCCCTCTTCTGGGAAAGGTCCTGTCGAAAGGATGTAAGAATCACCTCAAAGGGGCTGACATTCGCCAGACCTTGGGCTATTTGGGCCTCAAAAAGGAAAATATGGGACTAGAGAGATGGCTTAGGGGTTAAGAGCACTAGTTGTTCTTCCAGAGAACAGGTTTCAGTTCCCAACACCCACAAGGAAGCTCACAGTGAGCTGCAACTCTAGTCTCATGGGATCTAAGGGCTTCTGAGGGAGCTGCACATACGTGGTGCACAGACATACATGCAGGCAAACACCCATACACACAGAAGAAAAATAAAGGCAAAAAAAGAGAGAGAGAAAATACGGAAAGCAGTGGATCACAATCCATTGAATTAAAATAACAATGCATGCATCCACATGGACTGAAATGATGACAAGGACAGATGAACGAATGAGAAGAAAAGAAAGGCTTCTAGTCTTGTATGTATAAGGAATGGTGGAAACAAAGATGCAGCCACGAAGGACCCGTCATGGAGGAGGTGAGTGC